GACATCACCAGCACTATGCAGTACGAAAGATTCCATCAACAGTGTCTCCGGAAATTTTTATACATCACTTGGGAAGACAGGCGAACTAATACCAGTGTACTGGAAGAAGCAAAGATCACCAGTGTTGAAACAATGATTCTTCAACATCAACTTCATAGGGCTGGTCATGTTGTGCCTGATTGTCGTCTTCCAAAGCAACTACTCTATTTCAAACTTAAAAATGGAAAGCGTAATGCTGGTGGTCAACAAAAGAGGTTTAAAGAGTGTCTCAAGGCAAAATTTTAAAAATGTAGTATAAACACCAACAATTGGAAACACTTGCCTGCAAGCACTCCATTTGGAGAACAGCCCTTACCAAATGTGTCATGGGCTTTGAAGACACTCAAACTCAGGACAGAAGGGAGAAACGTACTAAGAGGAAGGCATGCTTGGCAAATCCACACCGTGATCAACTCCCACTTGGAAACCTATGTCCCCACTGTGGAAGGATGTGTGGATCCAGAATTGGCCTCCACAGTCACTTACAGACTCATTGTTAAAACCGTGTTTATGGAAGACAATCTTACTCAGCTACGAGTGATAGCCAAAGAAGAAAGTATGCAGTATGTACCCCCTTCCCCTGCTGCTGCCCCAGATGCTTATGTAGCCATATCCTAGAGAACACTCCAAAACACAACAAAATCTGGAAAGATAATCTCAATTTCCCAATATGCCACACTTTCCCAATATATTGCAGATCTAGGGCTAGGTAAATTGCGGTTCCTCTGAAACAGCAGCTCTTCCTTAAGAGTCAATATCTAGGTCCCATGTACCAAATGGGCAAAGCTGTGCTTCTGCTGCCCTATAAAACAATCATCTAGAAAGCTTCTTAAGCAAAACACTAGGAAATACAGCTTACTCATTGTCTTTGCTGGAGAAAAAAATGCTATGACTTATTAAGAGAGGAAAGGCATGTGTAGCCAATTTCTGAAATCACCCAACCTTGGAATGCCAGAAGTGTCCAGGGCAACCTCCTTCAAACTGGTGCTTTTCCAGATGTTGCTGGACTAGAACTCCCATTACCCCTGACCACTGGTCATGTTGGCTAGTGGGAGTCCAACACATCTGGAGGGCACCAGCTTTGTGTAAGCTGGAGAGTAGAGGTGGGCAGACTATCCTCTTTCTTTATAACAAGATCACCCAACTGAAGCCAAATATCTGCAAAGCGGTTCAGCGGGGCAAACGTAAAGTTCAGAATTAAAGAAGGGTAAAAGGATGCCTCTGAGCACATGCTCGTCCCAGGAATTTGCTTTTGTCTCAGTCTTCTCACACAAAACCCCACTCCAAGTGTTCTTCATTTCAGCAGCCAAAGAGAGAGACTTATAGTTGTTGCTACGGTTGAACAGAAACCTTCACTGATTTACAAGTTACCCAGAGATCAACTCTTGTCCATCCCTGGTGTAGAGCCCAGTATCTCAGAGTAGATCAGAGCAGGCTGAAATACCTGGCACATCTAGTTTGCATGGGTAGCAAGTGCCGAAGGTGCATTCCTGGCCCCAGCAATCAGAGAATAGCGTCCAGGCAGCCCAGGACATCTTGCTGTCCAAACAGCTATGCCAACACCATGACTTCCAAACGTTGCCCTCTGTCTCTTGGGAATATTTCAGAGTGCAACATCCTGTCTGAGGGCAGGGGGTTGGATAAGCGGCACGCAACGTCCCAGTTCCATGTAAACTACCCATAGTGGGCCATCTTGTAATCAGGGGTGCTGGGTATATGGGGCGCAAGGGGCTCCAGCCCTCCAATATTTGGGGGCAGGGGTCTGTGCCACCCCCAATATTTAGGAGGTCACCAGGTGGGGGCTGGGAAGAGGGAGGGCAATCATTGCCTTCACTTGTCCCAGCTTCCACCTGGCAGCCCAGGAACCCAGGAGCTGGGCAGCAGCTGGGGCGAGCAAGCGTAAAGAACGCCTTCCGCACATGTGTCAGGAGGTATCATGTGACGTGTCACGTGGCCACACCCCCTCAATGTGGGGGAGCAAGTCGGTGCCCCTCCTTGCAATTATTAATTTATTAAATAGCTCTCATAGGAGAGTGTTGTTTGTGAATACAGTGGTATCTTGGGTTAAGAACTTAATTTGTTCTGGAAGTCCATTCTTAACCTGAAACTGTTCTTAACCTGAAGCACCACTTTAGCTAATGGGGCCTCCCGCTGCTGCTGTGCCGCCGCTGCACGATTTCTGTTCTCATCCTGAAGCAACTGTTCTCATCCTGAGGTACTATTTCTGGGTTAGCGGAGTCTGTAACCTGAAGTGCGGAGTCTGTAACCTGAAGTGTCTGTAACCCGAGGTACCACTGTAGAAGGCAAAGGAACACTAGTCCCCAAACATCGATGGTGTGTAAAGAGAGACAGGTGCCAACACCAACAAGCCTATATCACATCCCAAATCTCTGGCTTGGCAGATGAGGGAAAATGCTCTGTGCCAATCCAAGCCTTTGGCATGGTTCCTCTCTACTACCGTTACTATTGCCCACCATCAGATCAGGTGGTGATCTGAGCTCAGTTTCAGCCTATCCTCTATCAAGCTGGCCCTGCAGTAGGAGCAGACAGCCTTGAAGGAAGTGTGCATGTGTGTGCATGCAGGTACATACTCTCTCTCTAACAGCCCAAACCACAGTGGTTGGTTGGCATCCGCCTGTCTCAATCTGTCAGAACAAAGAGGGAAGGGGGCAGGAGATTGAGGGAGGCTTGGGAGTCATGGGTGGGCAGGCGGCCATTGCCCAGTTTTTAAAAAACTCTGCGCATTTATGTTTCACAGGGTGCGAAAGAAGGGCTTTGTACCTTGCCCGGCAGAGAAACTATGTGCCTTGCACACCTCCTGGGCAATGGCCACCCACCCGCAACTCCCGAGCCTCCCCCATCAGTCAAAACAAACGGGGAAGGGAGCAGGAGATCTGTACCGCCGGACCTCCCCGGTTCCCCTTCGGCAGTGGCAGCGGCAACAGCCCGGAGCCAGCCAGAGCCAACTGCGCTACCAGGCTGGCTCCGGGCTGCTGAGGCTGCCGCTGCCACGTTTCCCAGGGACAGATGTGCAAACCTGGGGACATTCCGGGGACGGAATTTGTCCGGGGACAGATCTGCCAATCCGGGGACTGTCCCCAGAAACCGGGGACGCCTGGTAACCCTAAGATAAGTCAGCTGGGCAGCCAAGGTTTAGTTATAGTGGTACCTCTGGCTGCGAACGGGATCCGTTCCGGAGCCCCGTTCGCAACATGAGCAGAATGCAACCCACGTCTGCACATGTGCGGATCACAATTTGCTGCTTCTGCGCATGTGTGTGACGTCATTTTGAGCATCCGCGCATGCGTGAACTGTGAAACCCGGAAGTAACCCTTTCCTGTACTTCTGGGTCACCGTGTGACGCAACCTGAAAAGATTTAACCTGAAGCAAACGTAACAAGAGGTATGACTGTATTTGAAGGTTGTGTGCTGGCACACTAGAACACCGCAAGTCTTTAATTTTATAAGAAGCCAGCAACGGCTCAGCAGTTCCCCCTGAAACAATGCTATTCTTCCCTCCCCACATTCTGGTTATCATGCTGCAACTTGAATTGGGCCCTGAGTGACTAAACTGCAAAAACTAAGCAGTGCCCTGGTCAAGTTTTGACGGATCATTTGGAAAGACCTGAAGCATATCCCTTTGTGAACACAGCAGTTCTATTTCTCCTCCACTCATCATCACATATACAACCATCCCCTCCCCTTCCCTCTGAACCCCCCCAAACTGAGGAACGTTGAAAAAAACAAAAAGGAATCAAGGCTGCATTCTGCAAAGACTTCCACACCACATGGAATCCAATGAACACGCAGAAGGCATAAAATAACGGAGACACATAGCATACAGTATGCCTTTTCCACATGACTGCATGCCTTGACCCTCAGACAGGTATATACAGGGAGGTAGGAGCAGGGAGGGAAAACTCCCAGACAGAATAAGAGAGCACACAGCTTATTTTGGGTTCTGCAGTCTGGTGGTGCTCATAGCAAGCTAGGTCAAAATTTACAGTAGAAAAACACAGTCCATTGTGCTAGAGGAAGAGAGGGATCTGGGGTGGGGTGGGGGAAAAACCTTGGTGTACACACTACCTGCAGATCAGCAAGTAGAAGCAGTCTTGAGAGGCCAATTTGATAAAAAGGAGTTGACACACACATAGAAGGGGACTTAGAGGTCAAAAGCAAGCAGGAGTTCCAAGAGGTTATTGATAAGTATGTTGGCAGTGACACTTCTTCCTGTTCCCCTATTTCTGGGGTGGGAAGAGATTTTGCTATAAACCAAGGAACTAGCGTGGTATATTGTGTTGGCCTCCAACCTCATGGAGGTCAAATCCAGCGGCACCGATGGAATTTTTCTGTTTTGGTATAAAGGGGCAGGGTTTCCAAAGAAAGGAGAGAAGGAAGGAAGGAGAAGAAGCAGTGGGAGAATTGAGAGAAAGACAGATATATACTGTTAAAAATTAAAAGCAAGTCCACGTCCCATATTACGACTTCATAGTAAAAGACAGGTACCAGCTATGGGATGCTGGAGACCAGAGGTGAAGTAGATGAAATGTTGAAAGAGCAGAGGATACTACAGGAGCTCACAACAAGCCGTAGCCGTTGGTGGGTGGGGGTCCTCACTTGACCCCCCCCTCCACTGCCTGTGCCACTGCTGCTTAGAGGGTGGAAGTAGAGGGGGAGAAGCAAGGTGGCAATGGGGTCAGTGAGGGGCAAATGTGTCGGCAAAGCCAACCTGGTGCTCCTGCTGGCGTGTCGCTACCAGAGGTCACCACCCACTCCCACGAGGAACTGGATGCATAGACCCTGTTCTGAAACAGGCAAGTGGCTTTTTGTGATAAAAGGGGCTCTTTTAAAGATTTTTAGACCTCTTCACTTAAACCTTCAAATTGGAAGCATGTAACCAGAAGTGGGGCTCTTAACAGAGTGCAGAATATAAAGCACCAGACAAGAACTCAGCATTTCCAGCTCTGCTACAGACTCAGTGGCTAGAGCGTCTGCTTTGCATGTAGAAGATCTCAGGTTCAACCCTCGTCATCTCTGGGTAGGGCTGGGAAAAATTCCCTATCTAAAATGCTGTTGCCCGAAAATGATGGAGCAATGTTTGAGTGTAAGTTGTGGTTGTGAGCTTGTGAAATGTCCCGAGAACTAGAGAGAGACGGACAGAACTATTTCTTTCAGTCTATTGTTGAACGTTTCAGCTACCACAGAATGGCAGGGGACACCTTCACACTTGCTGTCTTAAAAAAACACTGTTTTCAATTTCTTGAAAGAACTGAGCACTGCTAAACCAGGCCACAAAACATGCCATGCTCTATTGGATTCTGACTTTGGCGTCAAAATCAGACCAGATCTAAAGGGAGGTTTTGGTTTTTCTTCCTGAGAGTCTGAACCCCTAATCACTGTGACTCAAGAGGAGTGGCAGTTTTTGTTTGGGGGGTGGGATATTCGCCATTAGCAATTCATCTGAAGCAGACAAGAACTGATGCCCAATTAGGCAGGGATGGGGAACCTGTGGCCAGTAGCAGTGTTAGAAATTAGCCAGGCATATTTTGTGACTGGCACAGGTTCAACTGTGACCACATGCAGATCTCTGGTTGCCAGATTGGCAACTGACAACTCCATCTGGCTGGCCTCTCCAGCTTTCTTAAGCAGGTAAGCAGAAGAGCATATTTATTGCATTTATGTCCCACCTTTTTCTTCGAGGAGTATATGGTTCCCCCTCTTCCTCAATTTATCCCTACAATGACCCTGTGAGGGAGGCTGTGACTGGTCCATGGTCACCCAGTGAGTTTCATGACTGAGTGGGGATTCGAACCCTGATCTCTCAGTTAATAGTCCGACACTCTAACCACTAGACCACACTGGCTTCCTAGAGTTCTGCTATGGGGCAGCTATATGAATTCAGTAGGTAAATAAATATGGAGAAATAAAGATGTGACTTAGGGAAGAATCAGAAATGTTTTCTTTGAAGCTTGAATTTATTTTATTCTGGATTGTTTTAATGTATTGTAAACCACTTTTGAGATTTTTTTCTTTGAAATATGAAGTGGTATAGAAATGAAATGAATAGCAACAACAACAACAACAACAATAAATCCACTCCAAAAAAAGGCACCTAGACATTCTGTTGTGGCGACCGTAACCTAGTTTTAAGGTGCCATTTGGCAATTAGTTTATATACCTGAGTTGCTAACATTGCATCAGTGACATTGCAGTCCAACAACACCAGGAGGGCTATGGGCTCTTCATCTGTGCATTGGGATCTGCCCACTCTAACAGCATTCCCTACCACACTGGCTTCATAGAACTGTAAAGTTGGAAGGCAACCCTGAGGGTCATCTAGTCCAACTCCCTGCAACGCAGCGGTCTTTTTGCCTAACGTGGGGCTAGAACCCACAACTCTAAGATCAAGAGTCTCATGCTCTACCGACTGAGATATCCCAGCAGGCTTGTTTACATCAAAGCTCTGTTTGCTCTCCACTATCTTACCTCCTTTCTGCAGCAGCTGCCATGTAAAGACAGTGTGTCAAGAGCAAGGGAAAATGGGAATTAAAAAGGCCCCAGCGAGGGCCAGTGTTGGCTCCTGGGTTGTCTGGAGGGCTAGCATTCAAACTGTGGCTTAGCCATGGACTTGAGCAAGTCCCCTTTTTAGCTTCAGGGGCCCAATGGCCAACCAATAAGAAGTTGACCTACATCAGGTGACGTGTTACAAGGAGAAACAAAGTGGTGTTTTCTGCCACCACCCATAAAATGGTACACATGTGAAAAGCAGTTTAGCAAACACTTCTACCCAAATCTACACATATGCACACGCATACAGATTTCTGGCACGGTGCATTCTCATGCAGAACCACCATCCCAGCAAGGCTTATAGTCACATCCCATGAAAGCACACAATTCCACTGATGACCTTTGGTTCCCCTGAGGTACATGTGCAGGTACTCAAAGCCACATAGCCTCCTTCCTAGACTCACAACACCATTCTTAGGGTGACCTCTACAAAGCACAATGACATTCAACCCCCAAAGACCAACAGCTTTCGTCACGTAAGTCGCTACCTCTCGGAACCTACGCACAAGTCCCTGTGCAAAGTGCACACACTCTATTTCCAAGGCACAAATGCAAGAAAAGACACTGTCTGAAATTCACATCCAGTGAAACTGAGTAAGTTAATCAAGCCAGGGGAAACGAACAGCTTCCATGCACACCAATATTCCTTGTGACCTCTACAAGCACACTTGACACACAGTCCTGAAAATCCACAATTCTGCAGGGCAAGGCAGTCTTTCTAAAAAGCTGCATAACCTGAAATAAACAAAACTGATACAGAGTCCCGTAAGTGCCTGCAGTTCCACAGACCCACACACTCACAAGGAGGCACCACCCAAAACCCCATGTTCCAGAGACAGGGATGTTCTTCAGGTAGCTGACCATGCCCTGCTCCATTGAGCTGGTCCATGCGACACATATAGACACAGGGCAGGAGACACATGATGTCAGGTCTCTCTTCCAAGGCTGACAAAATCAGAGCATCAGAGTCTACCAAGGCTGCACATCTCTCTAGCCACGGGGAGAACGGACAGTGCAGAAGTAGCGACAGCCCTAATGTTGACTTTGTAGGCAGGCAGGAAGGACACAGGCCTCCTCCAATATTTCTTGGCAGACACAGTACTCCACGCTCCCAGGACCGGGCTGTTGCAAGCAGCACTCCCAACTAGTCATGCCCATTTCTGACCTTGTCAGCATGCACACTGCATTAGGACCCTTGAGGCATCCAGGCATTAGCAACATTATGCAGGCAACAAAGCTTTGGCTACCGGACGTCTCTTGGTCGCCCTCAAACCTGCCTCAGCAAGCCACCCCAGTTGCCCGTGTGCTGGTGGGGTGTCAGATATTGTCCATCGCAAAGTTCTCTCCCCCATCCCACCCCCACAAAAACACATACTTCCCCCAATTTCATCCCTCCACACCCACCCACCCCAGGTATATCCAGATTACCTGGTCCCACCAGCCAACCAGCCATGGTTTCGCACAGGTCTCACAGAAAAAATCCACTAAGGGCATCTTCCGTTCTCCGCCAGTGGGCGGCAGAGGCTCTCTGGGTTACCCACCGACGTGGTCTTCCCTCTTTCCAGGTGAGCGGCCGATCTGTGGTGCCCCCTTTCCTTGGTGTTGGTAGGAAAGGAAGGGGTTAATCCCACAGAGCTGTTCCTTCCATGAGCGGGTTGGGGCCTGGCATGGCTCTTGCTGGCCAACCCGCCCTGCACAAGGACCCTCACATCTCTGCTGCTCCTCACTGATGCCCCCGCAAGGGGACCGTGGACCGGGGAGATGGGCAAGGCCTGAGAAAACCCCACCGTCTCTGGCTGTACTGCAGATGAGGAGGGAAATACCCACAGTGCAACGCTGCTGCTCCGGCTACGAGCAAAACACACAGCCCCTCTCTTCGGTGCACGGGAGGGAGAGGCAAAAAAAGAAGTCCAGCCAGAAGAGAGAGAGGATGAAGACGGCAGCAGCAGCAGGAGGAGTCACTGCAAAGAGGAACGGTCTCTTCCAGGTGGAGCCGGCTGGAGATTCCCAGCCACTTCTGGGTACCACATGGCAGCCACCCAGTTAGCAAGGCAGGGGCTGCACTGGTAGGAGGCACGTCCTCATCATCTCCTCCCGGGTGCGAGGGCAGCGGTCACCACGGAGACGGTACCTCCTTGCACGGCTCAGCCTCAGCTGCATCCCCAGCTTGGCGTTTGTGTGCAAGTGTGCGCGCGCTCTTCTCTCACTGCAGCACTGGGTAGATGGGAAATGATGTCAGGTGGCGATGAGAGAGAGGCGGCGGCTGGGGGGGTGGGAGGGAGTGGAAGTGAAATGAGGGAAGAGGCGGGGAAGGGGGGAGGTGGTTACCAAAGGAGCACCTCAGAAAGAGCTGGCTAAACAAACCGGGCAAACAACCGACCGGTGAGGGGGAAGGGAGAGGAAGCTCCGGAGCTCTGGGCCTCGAAGGAGAAAAGCTTCTGCGGCTCTAGCCTCCCCTCCTTTGCAGCAGCAACAGAGAACGCCTGGCGGGCTTGGCGGAAGACTTCACGGAAGGTGACCGGGTAACCCAGCTCTGCTGGTGGAGGAAACGAGGCAGAAAGGAACACACACGGACTCTTGGAGAGCTGCCTGGCTGTAGTTCCCAGACAGGGGCTGCAAACCGAACAGCAAGATGCTCCAGCTCACAGTGGGATGGGCAGCAGGAGTCTGCCCCCTCCCCGCCCAACTTCAGCAGGGGGCAAGGGGCCAGCCAGCTGCCGCCAGTGACCCACCATTCTGCTTTTTCATTCTGATCCGTAGCCACCTCAGTCTGACATTCATGACTCGTAGCTTTGAGAAAGGTGAGGGACTTAAGAAAACTGCCCTGGGGGGGATGGGAGGAGGGAGGAGGGAGGGGAAAGCTAAGAGTACCGGGTTCAGTCGCAGCAACAGCCTGTTTTATCAGCTTCTCCACTCTGTCATGTTTGCATTCGCACAACCGTCTAGATTTATTTTGGTTAAGTGTGTCAAAACCTCCTGACAACTAGACTTCTAGCCTTCAATAGTTGCTGGCTTGATTTTGCTTCCTATATATCTAGGCAGCTGTCCTGGCATTTTTGTGTGTTTGGGAGGGAAGAAATTGCCACGGTATCCCAAGTACATGAAACACTGTCCCTCCCTTGCAAACACACCTGGGAAAGTGAAGCTGGTACAGGACCAGGAGACTGCCTGGAGGGCTATTATGGGATAGAAGAAATACCTGCAGGGGCGAATGTGTTCTTGCTTCCCGCTTGCATGCACATATCCCACGAGCACCCCCCGTCACCCCCAATACTAGCGGTGGGCATTCTAATTTTTCTGTTCATACACGTGAGCTATGTTTGAGTGCCTTTGCTTTCAGCGTTAGGCCTCCTGCTACCCACAACTCGAGGGCACCCTGCCCTTGGGGCTCCACGTTCCAGACGTGGCAACATAAAAAAAACCCACAGAGGCAGGACAAGAGGCCCTTCAGAGGGGCGCTCTGCTCTTCCTTCTCGCTG